AGATTTAAGATTTTATTAACAAAAAAATATTGTTTACTTAGATAAGCTTTAGGCTGTATATTGGCACATACAGTTTTGCTAGCATAATCAATTGATATTTATCTGCACGAAGTTAAATAAGAAAGTAATAATTTAGTTAAGCACTATTTCTAATTACTATTAGTATATATATACATAGTATATATATAAGCTACATACATTCATTTTCTACAGATAACCTATGCACTAAATTTTGGGTTAAGTCGTAGATATTGCAAAGGCAATATTATGAAAAACATTATCAACACTATAAACAAAATATTTATAGCATGTTTGTAAATTAACTCATACATAATTTGCTCACAGCAAGGTTTAATTAAATTAACAGCGGTGTACTCTAATTGCATTAATTTTTGTATAAATTCGCAACTACAATAAAAAACAGTGAATTCTATTGTATAAATATTTAAATTATTATTTAATTTATTAAACTTAAAAAATATACAGTTTTAACAACAATAACACTGGTTTATACTAAAGTTATTCCATAAGCCAAAAATTGGTCTTAAACCGAATTTAATTCAATTTTAGTTATTTTGGTAAGAAGTCCCGAAACGTTTCATTCGCAACTGATATAAGCTGCTGCACCACTTTTTCTTGTTGACCACTATGCTTGTGGTAATATACTGTAAAGTACACGATCAGTCCGATTATGACAGCAAATATTATGATGGAACAGAATATGCCGAGTAACATATTCAGCGCACATTCGCAGCAACTACAAAGAGAAAGAGTAAAAATTAATTATGTTATAATAAAGAGCTTAAATTAGTATATGCTCAGTATAATTCTTGTTTTTTGTAATAATAAAGGCAACATGCAAAGTATGTTTTACACTATGGTCGTTCCCGAAATACGCGATCCTACAAAGCAACAATGAAACAAGTAAAAACGTCAACTTCGTTTGCACCGAAACTATTATAATCTTCACAAATACAAAATATTCCTTACAAGAACTTGATTTTGCTCGGTCAGTTTGTATGGCAATTACCATATATGCTATAGTGACTCAGGCTAAACAATTTTATCGGAGACTGCACCATTGTCTCACACAATAACCTGAATAACTGAGGGACTAGTGCGAGTATATATAGACAGACGGAAACGGACATAGCTAAATCGACTTAGCTCGTCACGCTGATCATTTATATACATATATATGGTACTTTTAAGCGTCTCCAACGTTTCCTGTTGGGTGTTACAAACAACTTGGCATACTTAATATACCCTGTTCAGGGTATAAAAAAGAAATTCCATAAGAGAGATTAGAGACATAACCTCTACCAGCTCGACTGATCTGCGTTGACATTCTCCTCACAAAATGGAGCCAACTCTACCGGTATAACGACATTTCCATAAGCATAGAACTTAAGAACTACATTGGCTTAGTTATAACATAAAAATGGATATAAACTTTCCAGAAAGATTTGTCGCATATGACTCCAACTTCTGAAATGAAAAAAGTCTCAAACGATATCTCTAACACGCGACACTAAAATGTATTCGGATTTATATTCAGCAAAGGACTATAGCCTCAGCAACTTTACACAAAACTTCTTGGAGAACGTTACATATTTACCAGCACACAACCTTTTTCTGTCCCCTTAGGACATGCACATAACAAGCCACAACATTTTATTGCTCTTTGTTTAAAACGAGTTTTATACGTTTAAATAAACTTTGATCTCAATAGTTTTAGATATCAGCGGCTAAATGTTCCAATTACAATTATAAAGAAAAATATTCATTAGTCTTCAGATTTGCTGTAAACTTCATGGTTAACTTTACGAAAAAGTAGGCACATGTTTCGAAACATTACATTTCGAAATTTATATTTTACATTATTATGAATTAACCCTTAGTTAAACAATCTAGGCGTGTCAGACAGCTAATTATCGCGGAATATGCCAATACACTTCTTGTTTGCCTTGGTGACATTTTTATGTACCGTTATTGTACAAGCTGTAAGCGATTTACGTTTGTGGTGTGCTTCGGCTGCCACCACTGTGTACTAGTTGCAACGAATGCAACTTGTCCGCTTAATATTGAAAAGTGGTGCCAACTATTTTCGCTTCGGAGTGAGTGAGTATGAATTTGGATGTTTTCTTTTGTTCTTGCTTCGATTTGTTAATGAAAGAGTTGCATTTGGCATGCGTTTGTACATTGCATGTGTCTAAAATTCTGCTGAGTTGGTCGAAGGTGTTCTATATCGAAAGCCCGATTGTTGGGTTGACAGCGAAACGGCGCTGCTTTAACTAAGAGTGGCGTTAGCTCAGTTGATTGACTTTGTTTTTTTTTTTGTTTTTGGTGGAGGGAGTAAGACAATGAAGTTGTACTTTACACAACAACTTTAGATTTTTATAACTACTGCTTGAGCAACACTTTGCAATTCGAGAATATTGGTAAACATATTTCGTTTGATGTAGAACAATGTGTTTTTTGTTAAATTTCTTTCTTTTCCAAGTAGATATTAAATTATATGAAAACGGGTTTCTAACTGAAAAGAACGAAAAATTGGCAACCGACATACGGCAGTGTGAAGCTTACCGTCCCCTCAAAGTTTCAAGCCAGGAGAAAATTCCGATAGAATTGCAAAAGCAGTGAAAACATGAAGACGAACACCTTATGAAAGATAATAGAAGAGGTCTCCCATATACTCGTCATTAGGAAGTGCGCATAGATTATAAGATTAGCGCTGAAAAAAGTGGAATCAGGCAGCGGGCCTGTTTTATATGCCGCTGATATAGACAGCTGAACAGCCACATTATAATTCCATCTTCTTTGCATATACTTGTACCAGAAATAATAGCAGTAACCTTAAAAACCTTAAAAACCTTAAAATAAACCATCGACTTATATTGGACTCTTTAGTTAAAAAAAAATCTTAGTGGAAGATTGACATTGCCTATCGATATCGATTGTTCTCAAACACCTCAGGTATAGCTACGAAAAAACGGAGTTTCCAGTATAGAGAACAAGCCTGTATGGCAAGAACAAAGGCTTAAAAGGCTGTCTAATCATCAAAGTTGGGACACAATCTCGGAGAACTATGTCTGTTCACCAAATTTTGTATAGGAAAAGCGAAACGAATACAATTGGCGCAAAACTCTCCTAAATAACTTCTCAAAAGTCTATAATTGCAGAGAAAGTGAAAAACTCATAGCACTTCCTTTCATAAATATTACGGCCAAACAGACTACCGCTACATCTGGTTTTATGCGAATTGATTTGGATTTCATGCGACCAAAAACCATATTGAGCAATATTGTCGCCAAAACGATTTTAAAACGTTTTGTAATAATGTCACTGGGTCAAGAAGTTTAACTCTTGAGCAAGTAAAGACTGCGAAGTTGGAACCTCCTACTTAACATATATATGTTATCAGATTATGAACAACATCCTCATATATACTTATCTTCAGTCTGCACTAATTATGTAATATGAAATGCAGTAATAATTTTTATAATTTTATGCAAGTCGAGTACATCTGGGATCTCTCTTGCATATATTTCTTATGTATATGTAAATTAAATATTTATCTACATTGCTAATACCTATTCATCGTCTATTTTACACTTTACAATGCATTCCTATCTAACAAATGATAACTTTTATATTGCTAAACAGTTTGAGGTGAGCGACTTGTGGTTTTCACGTGCTCAGCGAATTTATAAAGTGTTGTTAGCGTGTATATTTCAACAAATATTTTCAAAGTTTCTGCTATAACTAACCAATATTAGAGATTCATTTTGTAGGACATAATATAATGGATGACAGTTAATAATTTGGCAATCAAATGACAGCTAGTTTGCAAGTTTGTAGCTAAAATGCATGCAACATGGTGGGCTTGTACAAGTATAACCTTTAGAAATATTATTATTAGTACTTCTGTAAAATATATAAACATTTTATTATAATTTTTATGTGAGTTCGCCGATTCGAGATTATTAGAATCCCTGATATGGAGTTGAATACGATAAAGAAGTATTTTGGTGGATATAGAGTGGCTGCTGTCGATATTTTATTCAAAAGTAGACGCTACTTTACCGTTATGCCTAGAAATGTAGATCATTACTGATATATACCAGATTATCTATTATACTTAAATTTTTTTATTAAATACGAACAAGTAACTTACTTCAGACTCGAATTCAATTAAGTTCATACATTAAACCGTCGAGAAAACCAATGGGATTGGTGTTTTCAAACCCCAATAAATTTTAAACAATTGCCTCGACCTAGCTTTTAATTACTGTCACACAACGGACCGTAGGGTTTTTAATAAAGAGCGAGATAGATGTTATCGTTTACGCTTAACACTCAACGCTAGCCCAGTTCCATTAGTACTTGGAGAAGGCATCAAAAATATCAAATTCAACATTCTGGTCTTAGCACCACGACTTAGAAAAACTGTCTATTTGTTCTTAAAGACTGGGGTTGAGCTAAACGAGAGACTATTAAGGTGTGAACAAGATGCAGATAGTGTTTTAATTTTGCAACGCCTTTTCCGAGATTCAATGTGTATTCACAGTAATTCTAACTGATATTAACTTAAAAAGTATATTACAGGTTTCAAATTTTGTGCTTATAAATTTCGTTTCAATTTTAGTTCTTTTTCAGAACTTGTTATACTAATCATTTACTCATGTAGTGTATAAGTTAAAAACTTACCAACAAAACATTTCGCGGACATTTTGACTTTCATGCACATTTTGATGTTTGTGTTTAAAAATAATGCATTTTGGTCTAAAATTGTACACAATTTTTTATTTAAGTTATTTAGCCTAGTGTTATCCTCTCGTGCACTTTAATTAGCTTATTTATGTAAATGTGTTTTCTTTCCCGTAAGTGCGTGAAACACGTTATTTCGTTAGCAAACACAAATCGCAACTGTGTGACGTTCGAGTGTTATGTAGCTAGTTTCTCCAATACAAAACCTACGTGCGTGGTCACACATAGATATGGAGGCGCCGCAGATGGTTATGAATTCGGGAAAAAACTTGCATGTTAATAATAATTGTCCTTATCGCTGTCGTGTTGAACATGACTCCAATGTTTGTCGTACTGTGAAATGGTACAGCATCTAGGATTAGCATTCAACAAGTTGGACGTACACATTATGTTATCAGTGTCAATATCGTAATGTACGTATTTATGTTGTTATAAAATAGGTATTCGGTACACGATCATATTTACCGTAGAAGACGATAGTTATATTTTGTCTATCACATCTGATTCGGCTGCCGTTTTTTGTTTAGTTCAATGTTAACCTGATGTGGTTGTAATTTTTCAAAAACACACTCAAGTTCAAGGAGATACTCACCAGAAAATGCAACAAATTTGACCATTTATGTATGAGGGACAAGGTAAACTTACCCGCTACCGTAATCTTTTTTTAATGTAGGTTACACATCTGTTTTCGTCGTATAGCTATTAGGAATATTAAAATTCAGCTTTCATATATTAACGCGGTAATTACGTATAATGTTACCATAGAATTTTTGCCTTGGCGGCATCTTAATGCTGTCAACGCGGAGGCAACTTTTCTCGAGGGACTGCCGCAATGTTAATTGCTCTATGGCGAGTTTTGAATATATTTTCTTTTAAATTGCAAAAATCATTGTAAGATGTATCTTTGAATACTAAACTAGTATTGAATAAAATATTCGTATGTTTAAGATGAAATTTTGAAAAAGGACAGTTTTTGCCTCGACGAAATCCATGTAACCCGTAATATGCCTGTAGCTTTACTCGATGAAAAGTTTTACTATAATGTATCATAGGCTTAGTTCATTAGATCCAACCTTTAAAGGTTAATATTAGGAGACTAATGACTGAAGCCTGGAACCTAGGCAGGTTACAGTTGTGACGAGGTTGTTTGGTCATAAAAACAGTATCACACTTTATTCCAGAGCAACGCGTTCTTAAACTGTTTGTCAAGCTATGATTAGAAATTACTCAAGACTAAAATCATGAAGGTCAGCATTGCGTGCTTAGTTGTATTTCCCTCCCTTAATCTGTCCTCTTTATATATATATTTAACGGAATTGGTAGTGTATAGTTCGGCGCTATAGCCTCAATATGCTCGGGCAGTGTACTTAAACTAGAGCTTTGAGTGAATGTTTTGTGAATCGTCATAGGATTTTTATGCAAAATAAGAGATTCCTGAATCTAACTAGAACAATGCTACACAGCAATTTTATGAGCTATGTGTAGCTCATTCCTGACTGACGTCGAAATAGATTCCAAGTGATACCTAATATGAGACGCTGATTACGCAGCAACTTATGTTGGTACGTGTGGAAGTTAAGTATGTAGTGTATATAAATTCAGCTAAAATATTAGCTTTCGCTTTAAATTGTAATATTAGATTACTTCAGTAACATTGGCAGGAATCGGTTAAGGCATTTTACTCTACCTTATAGGGGTGAGACTGCTCGGATGGAGCGAAAAAAATTATAACTTTTTTTGCTTAGCCTGAGGATAAAATTTGTAGATTATAAAAAAATAAAACTTTTGAAAAAAAAATCCAATAATGACCACATAAAATTTTTTTAATTTGATAACTTTTCATTGTCCAGAAAGAGGACTGTCCACGGCTTCTAGAACACTTATCAAAATAGATGTTATAAAATTTTTATTTTGCTTCTAGACCACTTATCAAAATTTGTTTACGAAATAAAAATTTTAAATCGAAATTTACTTTAAAAGTAAATGGGTAGATGTTAAAAAATTTTTATTTTTTTTTCCAAAAAAAAATTTTTTTATATACTACAAATTTTACCCTCAGCCTAACAAAAAGAT